GTAATGGCAGTTCTGTCTGTAGAGAGGGAGGGAGACAGAGAAAAAGAAAAGGTGGTTATATAGGAGGAGAAAGTGGCACTAAAGCATAGCTCTCCAGAAGTACTGTACTGCTACAGTTTTGCATCGTCTTCATACCTTTTAAGCATTCTATCAATAGATTGATGAATGTCTAAACATACTTTGGAGTAATGATAATTTAAGATTTACTTGATATCTTGGAAAACTATTTGAGGTAAATTTTGTTGAAAGTGATTTGGCCAAACTTCCTGTTTTTTATTTAAAAAAAACAACAAAAATAACAGTTGTTAAGTGTTTTATACTTGGCTAGTACAGTGAAGGTGGGTGTTAGCGTGCAGTTGGGCAGTGGCTTAAAGTCATAGGGCTGTACTCTGACATTGACATTGTGTCTTAGGGTACTCATAGTTACTCCCGCGGTTTACCCGCGCTTTGTCGTAAAATACAATATTTTTCCTTATAAAAGTAGAGAACCACTCAACTTAGAGTTCCTGAGTTATGATCGGCATACAAACAAGTAGACAAACAGAGATTACATTTTTTTATACATATTAATTAATATTTGTTTGAGGACTTGCAACCCGCATGAGGATGTTGTAGCTCTTCCCTATTCAAGTGGAACCACTGGACCACCTAAGGTAGAGTACAGAGATATGTATATTGTATAATTCGGTTTAAGATACTTTTTTAAACAAAACTTACGGAGAATAATATTGTGCAATTTTTTTTTTACTGAATCAGGAAAAATGATTGATTTTGATTTTTTAGGCAAAAAGTAAAAAGTTTTTCTTGAAAGTTGAATATAAATCTCAATACAAGTTTTATCATTTTTATCATCATCATTTCCTGTTTCCTTAATTTTTTTTTATTATTTTCAATCTTCAAAAATTTAAAAGATTACATAAAATATCATCAATACCAGTAATAATGATAATAGTATTGATAACTTAGGGAGTTTGTTTAACCCATTACAACCTTGTTGCAAACCTATGCCAGGCAGGGCATCCTGATGCACTTCCCATCAAACCTTTTAAAGGTAATCTTATATTTCAGGATCTTTTTATCATTATCATTAATCACACCATTGCATTCCCATTCAAAATGTATGTTATGTGGATTTATTTGTATTTAGTATTAGTGTGTGTATTGTGAATAGCATAAGTATTTTATATATATTGTTCTGGTTTCGCTTAGATACCATTTTTGGTAATAAAAAGCGATTCTTAAACTTGATATTTTTCACTATATATGCTCGACATTTTTCACATGATCATCGTAACTGTTCTTGAAAATGTTTAAGGTTTTAGACTCTTTAATATAGTCTGGCAAACTGTTCCATGGGTTTATCACTCTCACAGAAAAAGAGTTTTTTCTCACGTTAGAATTGAATTGCTTCACATTTAAATTGAAACTGCAATTGGATTGTCTTGTCAGTCTATTCGCTGTCTCACATGTTCTGCTGAACCAAGAAGATTAATTAACATTATCATATCCATGTAGAATTTTCCAGGTCTGTATTAAATCACCACGAAGTCGTCTGGCCTCTAGAGAGCTCAAACCAACCTCAATCAATCTTTCCTCATATGTTTGACCTGCCAGACCTGACGTCATTCTTAGAGCTCTGCGTTGCACATTCTCCAGTAGATTAATATCTTCTTGTGTCCATGGGGACCATGCTTGTACTGCATACTCAAGGTGGGGTCGAACATACACCTTGTACAATTTGATCCAAGTGAACCTGTCCCTGTAATGGAATGATCTCGACATTTGTCCCAGAACCTGGTTAGCCTTTCTAGGTGTAACTGCACATTGAGAAGAAGGTTTAAGAGAATCTGAGATAATAACTCCTATATCCTTCTCCTCCTTTGAAGACTCAAGAACAGTTCCTCCTGGAGCAAAACCTCCCATGGTATATGAATACTTGGGATTATTTTTACCAAAATGAATCACTTTGCACTTACTGGCATTGAAAACCATTAACCATTCCTCAGACCATTTCAATAGAATAGAATATTAAAGTGATCAAAACAATTCATTATTGTTTCCAACTTTCCTTTTTTACATTGAGACTCACATAGGTAGATAACAAGTAGTTTTAGAAGATATTTTTAAAAAACTTGTAAATTTATTTCATCAAAGTGATTTATACAAATAAATATTCCAATTGGATAGGCTTAAGCTGTATTTAATTGAAGAATTAGGGTGCACACTACCTATTCTAAATGAACCTTTATTTCTTCAGAACCCTATTTCAAATGTCAATTATAGCTTTTCTACTTAAAACTAGTTCGTATTTAGAAACGGGAGTTCTTGGTTCTACTCTAGCTGTTCTACCGTTCTTCCACATTTATGCAATGGAACTTGTCATGCTTTTTAACCTCAGGTAGAGAGTATTGTTGATAACTTGTCAGTGGCCTTGTTAGAGTCAGGAAACCCTGTTGAATGCATAGGACGTGGTAGGAATAAGAGGACCGGTGTTTGAGGGTTGGTTAGAGTTTAGGGGATCATAGCTTAATATTTAAAGGAACGGTGAAATTAGGCCCTTTAAGATCTGAATGATCCAGTGTCAAGTGTCATTGAATTTTACTGCCTTTTGACCAACATTACCGACCCATGATCCCACCAACCAACAGCGGCTCCCAGGATGTCAAGTAACTTATCTGTCCCTTGGTACAAATAAGTCAGATAACAGCCCGCTTGGTGCGATGATTTTGGGGAAAAATTCGCACATTGTCATCTCAAATGACGAAAAAATTCCGTAAAACTTCTTTTCTGGTCAATTTCTTTGCAAAAAGAAAAAATTGGATGTTCATGAATAGTAGTTAAAATAATTAATTACTGCCTTTTGACCAACGTTACTGACCCATTGTAGGATGTCAAGGTGCCTAAGTGTCCCTTAGGAAAATTAAGTATAATAACTGACAACATCAATAATTCTCATTCAATGTTAATTTTCAGGAATGGTCAGAAGACCATAACGTTGCCTAAATTTGAACCTGAGAGCTATATCAAGGCTTTGGATACATACAAACCAACCTTTCTCAACCTGGTAAACCTAGATTTTTGGTGCTCTTTAGTTTGAACTATTGACTTTTTGAACTATTAACGTTTTGAACTATTGTACCACGTGTAGTAGTTCAAACGGCCAATAGTTTAAACGATAACATTATGTGCGCATTTGAACTATTTTTTTTTGCTCATTTCAAGTATTAAAAAAATAGTTAAATTGAGCTGAAAAATATATGGTTTAAATGAGCAAACAAAATAGTTCAAATGACCCAAAAAGTAGTTCAATTGAGAAAAAAAGTTCAAATGAACCAACAAATAGTTTGAATGAGCAAAAAATAGTTCTAATGAGCAAAAAAAGAAAGTTCAAATGAGCCCAAAAATAGTTTCAATGAGCCAAACAATAGCTCAAATGAGCAAAAATATAGTTCAAATGCACAAAAACAGCTCGAATGAGCAAAAAACATAGTTCAAATGAGCAAAAATATAGTTCATATGAGCAAAAGCATAGTTCAAATGAGCCAAAAAATAGTCCGATAATTTCCTTGTATACGATTTTTGCCCCCCCCCCCCCTTATCAATTTTGTTCATAGATCTCATATGTATATTATTGGTCATGTGGCTGCTGCGCCCATCTCCCTAGCCTGTCCTAGCCGCAGCGCTTGGTCCCCCTAGCCTGTCCTAGCCGCAACGCTCGGTCCAGAAATTGTCTTAACCTAACCTAACCCTGAAATAATGCAAAATAAATAATTGATAGGATGGGAGGAGAGGCGGGGAGGGTACAAACCTCGTATACTTGGACGGACCCAATTATAGTTTAAATGAACAAAAATATTGGGTTCAAAAGATCGCCAAAAAAAAGTTGCTCATTTGAACTATCTTTTTGATTCATTTGAAAATAATTTTTTTGCTCATCTGAACTATTTTTTTGCTCATTTGAAAGATATGTTTTGTTCAATTAATTGTAATTTGCTCTTTTTAACTACTTTTTTACTCATGTATATTGTGTGATGATTGTTTGACCTATATTTTTAAGGAAATATAAAAATTTTAAACCGCATATTTAATAGTAAAAAATGAGTAAAAAATGTGTTGTTTGAACTACAGGAAATGACAATGAACAATAGTTCAAACAATCAATAGTTCAAACGGCAGTAGTTCAAATTCGGATCCACCAGATTTTAAACCTGAAACATAGATTTTGTCTAAAAAATTGACCCAGCGTTATATATTTTCAAGTCAATTGATTTTTGATGCGTAGTGGAAAAAAATGAAAAATTGGATATTAACGAGCAAGTTATTTTAACCTTTTCACAGTTTTTCCCCCCCAAAAATTATTTTCCACAAAAACAAATTTAACATCTGGGGGTAAAACTGTTTTTATGAAGAGGGGTGAGGAAAAAAAATCACAATTAAAATGTGTTAAACTTTGTTTAAATATTGAAAAACTTACATGAATGGTGTTCTCCAAGGTCCCGCCTTTGGTCTCCTTCCTGGCAACAAATCCTGCTGTAAAACCATCACTGCTCAACTCAGGTAAATACTTGATTGTTTATTTTAGTCTTTAAGTGTTGAATTTTTAACGAAAACGTTAACAGAATAAAAACAGTTTTTTTTGCTAATTGCAATTTTAAAGTTTTTTGTTTTATTTACTTTAATAGTTTAGATTAACTCTTTCTTTCCTTTTTATTTTATTCAGTCTCAGCTTAACCTTAAGGTTGACCATATTGATTTTTATCCAAAATTCAAAATTTAAAAATTTAGTTTTCTAATCCTAATACTACTGACATATCCTCTACCCAAAATACTCTGGGGAAGGGGGGGGGGGGTTCACTCCAAGGGACAGTAGGAGTAGGGCTAAGGAGAATCCGAAGTATCATAAAACTCTTCTATAATCATTGAATCAAGTTTTGACAATATTTTAGTTACTTTTGTGACCGGTGGTGCCGCCCCCTTCGGTCCGGCTCTCATTGAAAAGTTTATGGAGAAGGTACAATTTCATATTTTTGGAGAACTTAATAATTTTATGCTTTAGTAATGAATAATAATAATAATAATGATAAACCGAAACATGATTCTTAATGCAAATTTTTTTTTATTTTAAATCTTAAATGATTGTTAATTCATTTCAGAATAAACAAGAAGTTAAAAACATTTTTAGTGTTGAATTCCTTGATTGATATTCTTACACAAATTCCTAAATCTTAGAAACCCAAGTATGCAATAGGGACGTAAGGACATCCTTAAATCGGTCGAATACATTTTATTTCTCAGGTTCATCCCCACCAGATAGAATTCAGGGAAGGGTTCGGGATGACGGAGTCAAGTCCTTTAACTCATCTTCAACCAGATGGGGATGCAGTTCTAGGTAAGTTACTGTTCTAGCTAGTTACTGTTCTTGGTAAGTTTCTGTTCTAGGTAAGTTTCTGTTTTAGCTAAGCTTCTGTTCTAGGTAATTTACTGTTCTAGCTAAGTTTCTGTTCTAGGTAAGTTCATGTTCTAGCTAAGTTTCTGTTTTAGGTTAGTTTCTGTTCTAGGTAAGTTACTGTTCTAGGTAAATTCTCGTTCTAGCTAAGTTACTGTTCTAGGTAAGTTACTGTTCTAGGTAAGTTACTGTTCAAAGTAAGTTACCGTTCATGGCAAGTTACCGTTCTAGGTAAGTTCCTGTTCTAGGTAAGTTACTGTTCTAGCAAGTTACTGTTCTAGCTAAGTTTCTGTTCTAGCTAAGTTTCTGTTCTAGGTAAGTTTCTGTTCTAGGTAAGTTATTGTTCTAGCTAAGTTTCTGTTCTAGGTAAGTTTCTGTTATAGGTAAGTTTCTGTTCAAGGTAAGTTACTGTTCTAGGTAAATTCTTGTTCTAGGTAAATTCTTGTTCTAGATAAGTTACTGTTCTAGGTAAGTTACTGTTCTAGGTAAGTTATTGTTCTAGCCTAGCTTCTGTTCTAGCTAAGTTCCTGTTCTAGGTAAGTTTCTGTTTTAGCTAAGTTACTGTTCTAGGTAAGTTTCTGTTCTAGGTAAGTTACTGTTCTAGGTAAGTTACTGTTCTAGCTAAGTTACATGTTCTAGCAAAGTTTCTGTTCTAGGTAAGTTACTTTACTGTTCTAGCTAAGTTTCTGTTCTAGGTAAGTTCCTGTTCTAGGTAAGTTACTGTTCTAGGTAAATTCTTGTTTTAGCTAAGTTACTGTTCTAGCTAAGTTACTGTTCAAGGTAAGTTACCGTTCATGGTAAGTTACCGTTCATTGCAAGTTACCGCTCTTGGTGAGTAACTGTCTTAGGGTTAGTTCCTGTGTTAGGAAATGTTTCAATTAAAAATTGGGGTTTGAAGAAAGTTTTTAATTTACATTATGACTTTGTCATCATTTCGTCAAAATACTTGAACCGATATTGCTTTTTTATGGAAGACCTTATTTTACAAAAGGAAGTTTAAGGATGGTCAAAATGTAAACAAAATTGCGGATGAAAAACATTGATTTAAAGTTTTGTGGAAAACATGAAATCTGAGAAAGTTTAGACTGTTTGTCAAATAATGTGCGCAAAAGGTACAAACAAGTGCCGTCCAATAAGCCTAGTTCTTATGCATTATTTTAAGGAGCCTGTGGATGCCCTGTTTCAAACACATGGGCCAAGATAGTTGATACAGAAACAGGAGAGATTCTTGGACCAGAGGAACAAGGGGAGCTTTGTGTATCTGGGCCGCAGGTATAAGGACCGGGGGGAGAACTAAGGACCACTGGCACAGGGAGTAGGGACCAGGATGCGTAGCAAGGACCAGTGGGACAGGGACTAAAGGATCACTAATGGATGAGAACTGGTATTGTAAGTAGTACCACTGGTTAAGGGAATATGGACCACGGTGAGTACTGGGGACCACTGGTCCAGGGAGTACTTTGGTCCACTGATTGAGAAGTAGGGACTATGGGGAATACTAATAAACACGTTTATAGGTAGGTGTATGGACCCTGGTACTGAGAGTAAAAACTAGTATTTTGTGTCCTCATGTTAAGTGTGTAGTAACTGATTAATATTTTCCAAAACTTTTATTTCCCCTAATAGCAAACTAAAACATATTACAAACACAAACTTATCAATGTTACCAACACTAATATAACATAAACAGACATTTTACTAAAACAAACAACGCTGCACGTTTGAAATTCCGTGTTATGATGCTTCAAACCTCACAGTAAAAATAGGTGTTAAATAGTTTTTTTTTTTGAAAATATATTTCGGTTTGGGCTGACCTTCTTCAGTTGTAACGATATAATAATCATCAAAATTAGAATAAATCTAAAATTTGTTTGCAAGTCACAATATAAACAAAAACTTAAAAAAAACAAGAAAAATGCTTGTCAAATAAAAAGAAAAATGGTTGTCAAATAAAAAAGGAAACTAACTCAGATTAGATTTGTAAAAAGGCAATTTGTAAATATTCACTTTTTAAAGAATGTATAAAGCAATGTTCAGGATCTATATAATTTTTATGCAGATCCTTTTGCCCCTTTGATCCGTATCCGTGGATCCGCATAATTTTGCGGATTCTAAGCACTGGTATAAAGACAAGTATTATATTCCTTGAGATTTTTTCTGTTATGAAATACATTTACTAGCATATTGAACACGCAAACCCTACAGTGGTATCTATAACTGATCTTGTTCAAGGTGATGCAGGGATATTTTAAGAATATCTCCGCTACAGAGAAGACTATCATCAACGGATGGCTCATGTAAGTTTTTTTCTAAAAATTTCCTATTTAAATTTTTAATGATAGTACAATTCTTTTTGTTTCAATTGAGTTATTTAATCAATTATTTTTTTTGATTGTATTGATGTTTTTATCAAATAAGATAAATCAGGACAGCTTACTTTTGTGGACAGACTTAAGGATGGATTGATAAATTGATTGACTGATTGATTGATTGATTCATTGATTGATTCATTGATTGACTTAGTAATAATTAGAATCGGAGATATTGCCATGTATGAGAAATCAGGACAGTTTATTATTGTGGACAGACTTAAGAATTAATTTATTGATTGATTGAATGATTGACTGATTCATTGATTGATTCATTGATTGATTTATTGATTCATTGATTCATTGATTCATTGATTGCTGTGTAGGACTAGAGATCCGAGTAGGATAAATCAGGACAGTTCACTATTGTGGACAGACTGAAGGATGGATTAATTGATTAATAGAAAGATTGAATAATTGATTATTTTATAACTGTGTAGGACTGGAGATATTGCTAAGTATGATAAATCAGGACAGTTTACTATTGTTGACAGACTTAAGGAACTCATCAAGGTTAAAGGACTTCAGGTAAGCATTTTATTCATTGCAGTGTTTAGGATCCATTTTTTAATCCGGATCCTCTAAAGAGTTACATTCCCGATTCACAACCGTACCCTTACTGTCTCAGCAGAAACAATGGAGAATCTAAAAACCGTTGTTTTTTAAATAGAGTTTCTCTTGCGGGAATCAAATTTTACGGATTTACGGAGCAACAAGGAAGAAAAATATTTCTATTCAATATAAAATAACTACAATATCTTCCTAAAAATAGATAAAGCAATTTGTGAATCGGTAATTTGACTCTTTAAATGGAGGACCACTTGAAATTACGTGAACCTGCCTTTCATCGTCTGATTTTATTTTATTTAAGGTTGCTCCTTCTGAGCTTGAGGATTTGATCAGAAGGCATTCAGGAGTTCTTGATGTAGCTGTAGTCGGGGTTCCTGATGAACGGGTAGGTTAGGCAGTACAGTACACTCAACAGAACAATATTGTGTACTATGCAGAACTGTGTATTGTGCAGTACAGTGTACACTGTACAGTCGATATGAAATTAAAAATTTAAAATTTTTCAAAGAACTTTCTATCCTAATATAATAACTGATCCATTGACTGACATTGATATTGATTAACACATTGATTGACACATTGATTGACACATTGACACATTGATTTACACATTGATTTTGATTTACACATTTATTTACACATTAATTGACACATTGATTTACACATTGATTTACACATTGATTTGCACATTGATTTACACATTGATTTACACATTGAATAACACATTGTCTGATTGATACATTGATTCATACATTGATTGATGCACTGATTGATACATTGATTGATACATAGATTGATACATTGATTGATACATTGATTGATACATTGATTGATACATTGTTTGAAGCATTAATTGATGCACTGATTGATACATTGATTGATGCATTGATTGATGCATTGATTGATACATTGATTGATATATTGATTGATACATTGATTGATACATTGATTGATACATTGATTGATTGATACATTTATTGATGCATTGATTGATGCATTGATTGATACATTGATTGATATATTGATTGATACATTGATTGATACATTTATTGATGCATTGATTGATGCATTGATTGATGCATTGATTGATGCATTGATTGATGCATTGATTGATGCATTGATTGATGCATTGATTGATGCATTAATTGATTGATTTAGTCCGGTGAGCTGCCCAGAGCTTACATTATCCGGAAGAACCGGAATGTGACCGAGCAGAGTATAATCGATTACGTTGCTGATAGGGTTGCTCCGCATAAGAAGTTGGGAGCAGGTTAGTGGAGAGTTATTTTTCAATTACTTCAAGTTAGATTTACGCATTGTTTGATTGATTGATTGATTGATTGACAGATTGACATACTGAAGTTGGTTTATTGATTGAAATAATTATTGATTAATAATATCATGAGCGTGTTTGAAATTTGATAGCATATTGATTATTGGATGAAGTGACTGGTTGTTTCGCATTGGTATTTTGATCAAGCAAGTAAATAGTTGAATTTTAAATTTTGAAATTTAAAAAATTTTGAAATGTTAAAAATGCTAAAAATGTTCAATTTTTGTTGTTAAGGAGTGATGTTTGTCGAAACACTGCCCAAGAACCAAACTGGAAAAATTCTGAGGCGTGAGCTCAAAGCTCAAGTGTTCAAGGGATCCTTTGGATACTAGTACTATTCTGCTGGATACTGGTTCCTTTGGATACTATTACTATTCTGCTGGATACTGGTTCCTTTGGATACTAATACTTTTCTGTTGGATACTGGGTCCTTTGGATACTAGTACTATTCTGCTGGATACTTGTTCCTATACTCTTAATCAAAATTTTATTCTGATACTAATACTTCTACTGAATAAGAGATCCTTATTTTCTCGAATTTTTAAAATTTAAGACCTTATTTTCTTTATAATTAACACTAATGATATGTAAACGTTTGAATTTACTCAGATTCTTAACTTATTCTGTTAAACCAGCCTTAATCTATTAAATGAGTAATAATAGTATTTTTTATCCTAAGTAAGTATTTTTCAGATCTGGTAATTTTATACAAAAATTAGCAATTCAACTTTTTTGTAAGAAATAGTTTGTACTTCATTAAATCTGAACTTAAATTCATATATATGTACAGTTCAAAATATGTACACGTCTGCTAGTTAAGTGTTTGATTTTTCAATCGTATCTGATCCTGCTTTTAGATTTTGTAGTTTAAATACTTTTATAGTTTTCAATCAATTATCAAATCATCGAAACAAATAATGTCCAACTTACATCTAGTGCAAAAAGAAAATTAATGTATTTTTATCGAAAATATATTTTCAGATAAAAATATTTTCGTACAATTATAAATTTTGAAAATCCGCAAGTAAAAGTGAAAAAAAACGGTTTAAGAATGAGTCGGGTTAGTGCTTGGAAGGAAATAGTTTCAACCAGTTTTCGTAAAGAATACATCTTTCCTGTAAATTCATCGAAAAACTGGTTTCCTGGACATATGCACAAAGGGTTAAAGTAAGTTTTTAAAATAAGATAAAAAATTTATATTAGTTTTATAATTCTTTCATCTAATATTTTTTTTAAATTCAGGGGAAATGGTTTTTTGGTGAAAATTTCTTAATTTCTGTTTCAAAATCTTGAAGTTTTAAAATTTAGCTGGCTGCATCTTAGCAATGGTGTATTTTTCATTGTTTTTAGCATTAAAAATCATACCGGGGGGGGGGGGTGGATGTATTATGGGGAAAAATAATTTTCTCTTGAAAAATATGTATTTTATTTTAGAGATATGCAACGGAGGATTTTAGATATGGATTGTGTCATAGAAGTTCATGATGCCAGAATCCCTTTTAGTGGAAGAAATACTACATTTAAGGTAAAGTGAAAAACACAAATTATTATAATTTTTAATTTTTCTAATGTCCGTCAAAAGATTATTTTTTACTCGAACATTTCTTTAAATATCTATTTTGGATTTATATTCAGGAAACTATCAGCGGTGCTCGGCCCCACATCCTAGTTCTAAATAAAGAGGATTTGATTCCGGCAAAGAATCGTGCAGAAATAATTGACAAAATTAAGGAATAGATAAACATTAAATTGTTTGGCTTTACTAATATTTATCAAAGAACTGTTCAGAAAAGTATAATATTTGAAAAATAAATATTTTGTTTAATAATCTAACTTATAATAAAATATATAATATATAATATTATAATAAAAGTTCAAAAACTCTAATTTAAGCATAAACAAACGTATTCAAACATTTTTATTTTTATGAGATTAAAATTTTCAAAAATAGTTTTGTCTCTTTAATTTCTGAAAAATGTTTGATTGTCCCTTTAAGGCGGTGGACCCTGTAATATCTGAAGTAGTGTTTACCCAAGCCAGGAACTCGCTCTGTAAAGGAATGAAGTCAATCTTGCCTAAAGCTATCAAGTGAGACAAACATTGGGTCATTTTTATTCTAATTTGATATTATCATTAAAAATTGCAAAAAAAAAAATTGAGAAAAATTGTATTTTAGATTGATAGAGAATTCTCCCCGATATCATCGAGCTAGTGCACCGGACAAAACTATCATTGTGATTGGTATTCCTAACGTCGGGAAATCAACTGTTATTAATCAACTCAGGAAATTAGATATATATATCGGAAATCCCTAATATTTGATATCTAAAAATGTGGAAGATTCCGTCGTTATCCTGTCTCAAAAATGTTTAACTTTCTCCATTGATTCCTATAATCAAGGAAAGCGCAGGTCACTTTTGCATAGAACGCACACATGAAAACGGCCACAGTTAAAAGAAACAAAAAAAAATGGGATATCTTAATTGATTCAAACTTGATCAGACAAAGCTTCTAAAGGGTACCATTGTAAATCTAGCATTGCCGTCTTCCCCTCGAGGGTTAATTGAAATTACGCTTACAGTCCCTTTAAATAAGATATTTCTTTGCATTATTAAATGTTGTTTCCAGAAAGAAGAGATGAAGAGTGTTGCATTATTAATTTTTTTTCTGGAAAAGAAGATGAAGAGTTTCTAAATGAAAACCTTTTCAAATGTAATAATCTAATTTTTTGATGATGAATTTAAGTATATTTAGAATATATAGCTTTGATCCTGAGCTAGGACTTAAATCTCTGGTTGATCCTGAGCTAGGACTTAAATCTCTGGTTGATCCTGAGCTAGGACTTAAATCTCTGGTTGATCCTGAGCTAGGATATAAATCTTTGGTTGATCCTGAGCTAGGATATAAATCTTCCTGGCTTCTGATATTTAACTAATAATTCTTTTGATATTGAAATTTTTAGTTTTTTGTAATTTTTTAGATCGGTTCAGGAGCGTATACGGGTATCAGACCGTCCGCTTGTTTATCTTCTAGGAAAATTATTTTTATATTTATTATTAAAAGGATTGTAGACGTTGTTCTAAGTTAACCACCATTAAAAAAAAGTGGCATGTCCTACTCACTACAGTACGGTCCGTACCCTGTAAACTTTTATCTGAAAGTAAGATAAAGTCTATCTTTATCATGAAAAGATTTTAATTCTGGCAATTTTCACTTCGTCGTTTCTGCAGCTTAAATCAGCAAATCCTTCAGTAGAGAAACCAAAATTAGAAATATACATTTTTCAGCCAGAAAACAAGAACAACTCATTTATTGATAAGACAAAGGTACCGTTGTGAATCTAAAATGCTACTCTCTATGAATAAAAAGTCTCTTTGTAACTACGTCTCCAGTCCGAGTTCCAGTGCATTTACGTCAAATTGCTTTGCAATTTAATTCTGCTGCAAAACTTGTTATTACACATTCATTTTGATATTTATAATATGTATCATCGCATGAAATACAGGGTTACCCAAAAAGTATGCGACTTCGGAATTTTTCAGTCTTATTTCTTCCATTCACAAAAGCATGGATCGATTTTGACGTTTATTGGATACAGACAGACGAGGAAAGTATATTTATTCTTTCGCCCCCGGGGGGGGGGGGGGGCATTGCTTAAACAATGTATTGGAATAAAACTGAAATTATGTTTGAAACGATTGAAAAGTTTCATGCCCATTGCTTAAGCTATCTTTGCAGTCTAAAGTTAAGCCAGGTTATTGATAAATTGTTTCTTAGCGTTGAATCTATACACTATACTGATCAATAAGACCGGTTTGGATGAATTCAGACCTGTATCATGGCCCAAATTGTCGATAAGTCCGACGTTTGGCTTAAAAGCTTTGATCTGAAAGGGATTGTGATGGCATACCCCGGCTAGATTAAGAAGTTGTTGAACAATCACTGGCTACTTGCAGGGTGGCCAAAATGTACGGATTGTACGGATTGATTTTTTTTAAACCCTAAAATTGTACGGATTGTACGGATTGCACTGATTGTACGGATTTGTTTTCAAATTGTACGGATTGTACGGATTTTATCCTGGAAAATACACCGTTTTTTTTAAATTTTCACTCATTTCAGCAAATTTTTCATGAAAATAAAAAAAAATTCTCGTCAAAATGAAGTTAGTTTAACTTATTTTCTGCATTCTAAATAATATTAGATTGATTAATGTTTCAATTGACAATCAAAATTCATTCATAATTTTCGAGATATGTCCAAGAAGTGTTTATTTGAGAATATGTTCCATAAGTACTTATTTGATTGCT